GTCCCGAGGAAAGGGTCGGGACCTCTGGGGCCGCGCACCGAAGCAGCCATAGCATCGTCGGGTGCCTGGGATTGCTGCAGGTGCACAGCAGTCAGCGCCCTCCCTCTCAAGGGCGCCCCTCCCTCTGACTCTGCTTCGCAGTGGCCGGGCGCGGGTGCGACAGGCCCGGGCAGTGCCGACACGGCAGGGACCCTGGCGCGGGCGTTCCTCCGCCTCCGCCTCCGCCTCCGCTTCCGCCTCCGCCTCCTCCTCCCTCCTCCTCCTCCCTCCTCCCTCCTCCTCCTCCCTCCCTTCTCCTCTCCTTCAGGTTGTACCTGCGCGTCGTTGTGCCGAACGATGCACGCGGTTGTCTCAGAAACCGACGCCGGGTGTGTCAGGATGGAACAGAAACAACACGAGAGACACAATGAATCGTCGATTCCTCCGACAGATGTGGGAAAACAGGGGCAGTGGGGGGCGGGCAAAAGTTACGCCAGAGAAAGTGGTGAAACATGTGGGAGTTCCTTCCGTGTTGTGTGAATTCATTGGTGTGTCCTTGGGCCCCTTCCCGTTTGTCGCGGCACGGACTTGCCGCTCCCCACCCCGCTGTCCGCGCCTTCCCCTCGGCCGCCCGTGAGCGTGCCGCGCCCCGCGTCGCGCGCGGGCGCTGCCCCCGGCGCCGGGCACTCCGTGGTCCGGGCGCCGCGGCGCCGCAGCGGGCCCTCGGCGGGCGGCGTGTCCGGCCCGCGGCCCATGCGCCCCGGCCGCCCGGGCGGATGCCGAGCGGCTTTGACTACTCGAAGTGCGCGGGGGGGTCACCACCTCGCATACCACCCCAACCCACCCCGAAGTCTCAAATTTGCCCTCTCTTTCCAGTGGGGGGGGGGGGTCGGGGTGAACATCGCATAACGCGTATGAACCCAGTGTGGAACCCTTAAATTACCACCGCCCAACCCGAAAAATTCAAGGTCTTCGGGGTGTGTTGGGGTGGTCTTGTGTAGGTGGTCGTGGGGTTGGGGCCCCCCCCTGATGGCAAGGTGCAGTAGGACCTGTCGGGCAGAGAGGATGGGGAGGAGGAAGGAGAGGAGAAGGTGAAAGAAAGAGAGGAGGAGGAGGACAGGAGGATGAGTGTGGGTGGGAGAGAAGATGACGGGTGAAGGACGGGGTTGAAACGTCCAAGGGAGAGGAGGAGTTGGAGGAGGAGAGGAGCTGGAGGAGGAGAGGACTGGGCGAACATGTCTGTGCCCGCGCCCTCGCGGACTAAGAGTCCGGCACAGATGCGTCCCGCGCGAGGGGCAGCTGCGACGAAGAAAGACGCCGTAGTATCTGGGGGTCGTGGATCATAAAACGACACGAAGATCGGGACAAAATCGGATCGGGATAACTCGAAATCTCTGAGAATCGGCGGGCTTGGAGGATGTATTGGGCGCCGCGGCCGCTCCAGAGCGTTCCGGAACGCTCTGAGAGCGCTCCGGAACGCTCTGGAGCGATTTATTCCGATCCTAGCCCTGTTTTAGATCAGGGGCCTGGCCCGCGAGGCCGCGGATACGGATACCGATGGGACCACCCTACGGGTGCGAAGGAGGTTCGGGGTGGGGGGAGGAGGCCGTCGTTTTGAGATGGCTCTGGATTCTTCTGTGGTTTCTTCAACTTTCCTATTGTCGCGCCATCTACCCATCTATCTATCGACCTATTAATCGAATTGTCTGTCCTGGACACCCATCTACAAATTTCTATGTGGCACGCTGGCACCGCTTGTTGGTTTTATTATGATGGTGACATGAGCGAAGCGATGTGACATAATGGTTTTCGCTCCATGCTGGTGCACCATGGCGCGATGCCAGCGTCAATCGGTTGCGTGCCCACTTCTATGCCGAACGCCCGAGGCGTCTATTGCGTGCTGGCGCATGCTCTAACAGCTGCGCGCCCGAGAACAAACACATATTGCAAGCCCACTCCCGCTGCTAAACCTTGCGCGCCGTACCCCTCGTACTCACTATCCGCTTCCCGCTGGCTGAGCCTGGCGACGAAGGAGGGCTAAGTGCCTCACTGAGGCTGCCGCGGCGGTGGCCACGTAGGCTCCGACTGCATACGCCTCAACTTTGCTGCCCTGTCCCCCGTCCAGTATGGCTCCCCCTTTGCTCACGCGTTCTCGGGGCCCTAGCAGAGCTTGGCGCCAATCACTTGCGCGGCGACACGTACACATATTAGACATCGTTGTTGTCAGCATCTATATATATATATATATACATACAAGGCTGCAGTGGCGCTTCGCGCCATGCACCTTGGTCATGAAGTTTGGTATGCAGGCGGAATGGCAGCAGGGTCAAGCCGACAATTTAGCGACAACTCCTGCTTGCCTTTTCTGGCACCGCCGCTGTGATAATGTTATTCGTTGTCCTTCCTCCATGCTTCTTTTTCCTAAGTTTCGCCATACCCTGCGCATCCTCCCCATCCTCCTCAGCTCTTTTTTGCGGAGGCTCCTCCTTGGAGAGCCGCTAGGGGCCTCACAAAAGTTGTTTCAGGCTTTCTTAAGGCCTTCTGGAGACCTCCTGGGCGTATTCTGGGGGCCTCCGGGGGCTTCCTCGAGCCACCCTGCCTCCAACAGCGGTCTCCCTGAACGACGGAATCACGATTTGGATTTCTTCGGAGGGTGTCTTTGGGCCATCTTGGGCCGCCATGGGGCTCTCTGAGGGCCATCTTGGACCCATGTTGTGCCGTTTTGGGGCTCTCTTGGACTGCCTGGAAGCCTTTCCGGATGGTTGTGGTGCGATTTTGGAGCCTCCAAGGCGGCTTCGGACGCCCAGAAGACCGCCGTCTTGGAGCATCGGGAAGCCGAAAAGAGGAGAACCCCTAAATTCAACCAAAACCATCAGAAAAGCTATGTTTTTTTTTGCCTCGGAGGGCCTTTTTGGGAGTGCTCTTGGAGGCCTCTTTTGGGGCCGTCCTGGAGGCCTCTTGGGCCATCTTGAGGTTACGTCGGTCACTCCTGGAGCGCTCTTGTGCTGTCTTGGGGGTCCCAGTCTCCGATGACCCCCCCTGGTCGCCCTAGGTGTGCTGGGAGGGCTTGGCAAAACGCCATGTGAGGCCCGGTGGCCGCTTCGAGGCCCGTCCGGAGGGTCCCGAAGCCCCAGATCCCGGGAGTCCACTTTTTGCGAGGGGGGGGGGCGGGTTCCCCCCCGCCCGGTCTTGTAAACATATCTCAAGAGGAATATTGTTGCCCGCGCCGCCCGCAAGCGGAGGAGCGACACATGTGGACGGCGCCCGTGGCGAGACTGCAGAATCGGGCGTATGCGGAATGCAGCAAATGCAGGTTGGCAATTCGAGTGCGATGGCCATGACAACAAACTCATCGCGAATTCCGAAGAAGACCGCCTAAGCACCCACTTTCTGTGCATAGCGTGGGTGCGCGCGGGGCGGCGCACATCGAGGGCAGCAAACGCCGGGTAAAGTCTAGCCGTGAGCCACGAAGCGTGTGAGGGGTGTGCCGAAATGGGTGTGGGGGACGCATGTGGACGGTGGCACTGGGGCCTTCGGTGTAGCTCCCTACGGAGGCACGAAGCGTGTGAGGGGTGTGCCGAAATGGGTGCGGGGGACGCATGTGGACGGTGGCACTGGGGCCTGCGGTGGAGCTCCCTATGGAGCCACGAAGCGTGTGAGGGGTGTGCCGAGATGGGTGTGGGGGACGCATGTGGACGGTGGCACTGGGGCCTGCGGTGGAGGCCCCTATGGAGCCACGAAGCGTGTGAGGGGTGTGCCTATGTGTGTGGGGGTCGCATGCGGACGGTGGCACTGGGACCATCGCTGGAGCTCTCTATAGGGCCACGAAACGTTTGATGGGTGTGCCGACATGGGTTTGGGGGTCGCATGTGGACGGTGGCACTGGGGCCTTCTGTGGAGCTCTCTATAGGGCAACAAAATGTGTGACGGGTGTGCCGACATGGGTGTGGGGGACGCATGTGGACGGTGGCACTGGGGCCCTCGGTGGAGCTCCTTATAGGGACGCGAAGCGTGTGAGGGGTGCGCCCAAATGGGTGCGGGAGACGCATGTGGACGGTGACGCGGGGCCTTCGGTGGAGCTCCCATTGCCACGTTACATGTGAGAGGTGTGCCTATGTGTGTGCGGAACGCAAGTGGACGGTGGCACTGGGGCCTTCGGTGGAGCTCCCTCTAGGGCCACAACATGTGTGAGGAGTGCGCCGAAGTGGGTGTGGGGGACGCATGTGGACGGTAGCAGTGGGGCCCTCGGTGGAATTCCCTATGGGGCCACGAAGCGCTGTACTGGGTGGGTGAAACGCAGGGAAGAGGGAGGAGGGGGAGGAGGGAGGAGGGGGAGGAGGAGGAGTAAGAGAACGCGGGGGCCGCTATATATCAAAATGGGGACCCAACACCACATGATGGTTTGGACAAACATGCAGAAATAACCTCTGGATCTAAGGGTCCATCAGCCGGAAGGCTTCACCATCGCGCAGGAGACGCTTGAAGTGGCGCTCTAGCTCCACCATCTTGGCCAGCGTTGGTACTCCTGCGGCGCGGCCGCGCCGAAGCCCGCGTCGGCAACCAGCATGCTCAACCGATGCCGGATCGCCTCCCGCGCTGACCTGAGGTGCTGGGCCGATCGGGCCGCCACAGCCCAACGATGGTCTCGATCGCCTCGCTCAGGAAGCTCAGAGGCTGGCTCTGGTTTTTCAGCTGGCGCCAGTGGCACACCACTGGCCCTGCACGCCCCCTGTGCGGGTGCGTTGCGGCTTCGATCTTGTCGCACCCCGCCGACAGCCCCGTCTCCACCTCCTTTACGACAGCGTCCCACGCTCGCTGGAGCGATGCCGTGTCCTTCGCCAAGTGCGCTAACTCTGGCGGCCAGTACCAAGGCCCAGGCGGCCTCGAACATCCAACGACTGGGCCACTGGCAAGAGGAGCTGGGCCAGCGAGTTCGCGTACCCAGAGGGGCCTCTTTGGCCCCCCGAGCCCCTGCATGGAAGCCTGCAGCTCCGCGGCGTCCACGCCGGCGCCGTTAGAAGGAGGTCGTCCTCGTGGAGCCCAGCGGGCTGGGCGCTGGCCTCGGGGGCCTGCGGAGCCCTGCCTGCTGGCGGCTGCCGCGCCGGCCTGCTCAGCCCGCTGCTTCGCCGCCTCCTCTTTGCAATCCTCCCTCACCGAGCGCGTTCAACTACTCGCAGAGTGCCCACGCGCAAACGTCCGAAACACACACACACATCTGCTTTGAAGCAATTTTTATCGTAGAGCCCCCGCGGCGGATCCGGGCCATTGGCGAGCAGTTACTCTGCGATTCGTGGAACGGCGCTCGTCTACTCTCCAGCTCCTGGACCTCCTGCATGGCAGGCTGCAGCCTCCCCAGCACCTGCTCGCCGGCCGCGCCGCGCGTCGCCAGCAGCACTGGCAGCTGTGCCATGCCGACGCCGACTCCCCTGCCATCGGGCGGCCTCGGGGTTGTCAGCGCACAGCCGCTGCCGCTGAGCAGGCAGCTCCCAGAGCTGACTCTCCGTGGCGGCCAGCGCTGCTGTCTGCTCCACTCGCTCGGCTTGGAGCTCGGCGGCCCGCTCTCCGCGGTGGCTGCCCGCGCTCCTGCGTGCGCGCCCCGCGAGCCGCAGGACCACGCAGCGCGAGCAGGAGCAGGCTTGGCACTCGAGAAGGTCCGGCCGCAGTGCCGTCCTCTCTGCCTCCAGCTCCTCCCGGGCCGCAGCGAGCGGCCCCGTGCCTGGAGCCGTTGAGTTCGGCTTGCTTGGCCCTGCGCGTGAGGTCGGCCACCCTGGCGTCCTCAGTCCCACCGCCAGCGTCCAGGCCGTTGTTCTTGGCGAGCGCGCTGCGCTTTGCCAGCTCCTTGCGCGGCTCGGAGTTTTCCAGCTCGGTGGGCGTAACCCTGGCCTCCTCCCATGGTGGTGCTCGCCTCTGCTCGAAGTGCTCTTGTGTAGCACCAGCACAGGAGGCGGCCCCCAAGCTTTGCGGGGCCCAGCGTAGGCTGACACCTTGTGTTCGTATCAGCGGCAGCAGGCGAGCCTGTCCCCGTGGTTCCACCATGGGCGCTGACTGGGTGTTGGCATCGCTTGCAGGTCCATGCCTTGGCGATCCCCTGAGCGCCGCTTCGAGGGCTGCAGGTCGCAGGACTGTCCCGCCATCCTGCCTGCGCGAGGCTGGTCGCGCCGAGAAGGGCGGCGAGAAAAGACACTTGGCCACAGACCCGCGCACAGCCTTGACGTGGTTGCAGGTATAGTGAAACGCGCCAGGTTGCAATAGCCTTGCCTCCTTGCCTAGGACGGGGAACAGGGCTATCCCGTGTTGGCAAGGAGGCGCGGAACCCCTTGTGCACCTGGGATGGGGAGATGGGAGGGACGTGCAAGGTGGATTGTCCTGCGGAAGATGGAGCGCACTCTCATGTGCCAATGTATGTTTGCATGCATGTACGCACGTATATATATATATATATACACACATATATATATGTATATATATATATATATATATATATATATATATGTACACACGCACTTTGCGCGTTCACGGGTGCGTGCATCTGCGTGCATGCAGTGACGCAGCGATCCAGCCGACGGCGGTAAGTTCTGCCACCGTGACATCGCGGCGCCAGGCGTGTCGACGCACAGCATGCGACCCGTCTTGTCGTCTTCTCGTCTTCGCCCCTCGATGGGGTGCCGTGTGGTCCTCTTGGGGCCATCTTGGTCCTGGGGCCGCCTCGGGACCCTCGCGATCGTCTCGGGGCCGTCGGTCCTCTTGTCAGGAGCCTAGTGGTTGGCACGAACACTAACCTCTGGGAAGATGATCTTGTCCTCGACGATGGTGGCAATGTTCGGGATCCCTAGGTGACCGAGGGATCACCACCGTGGCCAAGATCCAGGATCAGCTTCCCCCCTGTGAGGGCAGCCCCTTGCGTGGGTGCTGGTGCGTCCAGTTCCCCCAATGTTGGGGGGTCCTGAGTCTTGGCATCGCTCGGACGTGTGCATTTTTATTTTTTTCTCGGCGAGAGCCATTGAGGACGATCCTGGACCATCGAGCAACAAAAGACACGCACGAAGCCGAAACATGCACGGGAAATGGACGTCCGAGCGATGGCGAGGAGTGGCTCCTGGCCCTCCTTGGCCTTCCTGGCAGCCCTGGAGAGCCTCTGAGAGCCCCCGGGACGGGCGCCCGGCTGCCCGGGGAGGGCCCCCCCGGGGGGGGGGGGAGGGGAAGGGGGAGGAGTGGGGAGGAGGGGTGGAGGAGGAGGAGGAGGAGGAGGGGGGAGGGAAGGAGGGAGAGGAGGGAGAGGAGGAGGAGAGGAGGAGGAGGAGGAGGAGGAGAGGAGGAGGAGGAGGGGGGGGGCGAGGGCGGGCGGCCCGCGCAGGGGGCGAGGCGCGCGGCGAGAGGGGCGGGCGGCCCGCGGAGGGCCTCGGGGATGCCCAGCCGGCCACAGCGCCTCGGCAGTCCGTCGCGCCCCTCGGCGTGCTCGGCGGTCGCGGGGGAGGACTCGGCCGCTGGCCTCCCAGATTGAAGGGGCCCCAGGACACACAAAGAAATACACACACACAACACACACTCACACTCACACACAACACACAACACACAACACACAACACACACAACACACACACAACACACAACACACAACACACAACACACAACACACAACACACAACACACAACACACACAGCACACACAACACACACCTCACACACAACACAACACACACACAACACACAGCACACACAACACAACACACACACAAAAAAAAGATACCCCATAGTTTCCCATGTTTTGGGTTTTTTTGTCTTCCCCCCCACTTCCCATATGTTCCCATACTTTACTGGGAGTCGACGATTAATTGTGTCTGTGTGTTTCTTTCCCCCCTGACAGATGGGGTCCGAGCAGGTGGGGGGGGAGGATCGCGCCGCATCGCCGATGCATCGGCGATGCGGCATCGATGCGGAGCCCGATCGAATCCACGCCGACGTCGCCGACGCATCGCCGACGTCGTCGATGCATCGGCGATGCATCGGCGATGCATCGGCGATGCATCGGCGATGTCAGTCGTTTGTCTGTCAAGCATCCCTGCATCCATACATGCCTGTTCTGCAGCCCGACTCCAGGAAGTCGTCCTGGAGTTTTCTGGAGGCTTCTCAAGCGCACACTCAGCTCAACATGCGCCCAACAGCATGGCAGCTGACACGAGGGCAGTATCAATTCTAGCTTCTGAAGGTGCCCGCTGGTGCTTCGTGTTTGGGCTCGCCACCCTGGAACGAGGCATAAGATCGATGTCGGCTCGGGGAGGGTACCCCCCAGCGTTCTTCGTGCGGTGGTGATCTTCTTGTGTGCCTCCTGGAGAGGGTACTCCTGGGCGTTCTGCTTGTTTTTTGGCCGACGGAGGGCCTCGCGTCCCTGGAGGATGCCTGTCTGGCCCGGGCCCGACCGCACCCGGAGGCTTCTGTGCGTGTCCTGCCGCGCGGGGCGAGCGAGGTGGAACAACATCGAGCTGTCGGACGACGAGGAGGACTTTCATCCCAACATCGACAAGGACTCGTGGATCAGGCGCGCGAGGAGCAGTTGCGGAGGATGGACTTCGGATGCGGATGGGCATGAGGAGGTCAAGGAGGATGGGGATGATGATGATGCTGATGATGACGATGATGATGGTACTAATACTGATGATGATGATGATGATGATGATGATGATGATGATGCTGGTGATGATGATGATGATGAGGATG